CTCAAGGAACAAATTAATACGGACTGAAAAATGTATCCAATGTATTTTAGTAGCAAACTTAGAACCTATCACAAAAGTTGCTAGATGATGCAACTTCAGATCCCAAAGATTTAAGAGGTGGTGCAACTTGTAAAAGTAGACTATGAAGTCATGCACATTGCCCAAACTAATTGAAATTAACCAAATTTATGTCCATCGGTCCGTTTATACCAGCATGTCGATCAAAATAGCGGAAGATTGTCATTCCAATCGACCAACCAGTTATTTTTTAAAATAGAGAGCACCATAAAAATTGTCTCACCCTACACGGGTTGGCCTAGTAGTAAGAAAGGTCCACATGTAAATGATAAAGAGGTCAAAGAAAATAATCATGGTAGCCACTTAGTTATGATTCAATATCTGCAGGTTATCTTAACAATCAAATGTAGTAGGATCATACGATCGTTCCGTTGTAGACAATTGTCCGAGACTCCAAGCCGACAAGGGTGGCAATGACAATTGTGACTTGTGACTTGTGAGGCGACCTCAGAGAGAGACTGAGAGAGATGTCAATTTTCACCGACAGTGACCATCAGTTTCCATTTATTTGGAAACCAATTGGATGTCAATTTGTGCCCACTGCCCAAGAACTACAATAATTTATCAACAGAAACTTGAGTATTCCTTGTCCTTAAATTGATTCTTGTATTGAAATAATCATTCATCTCATTCATGCGAGAGGAAAAGAACGATACTTTGATAAAGAAATACAGATATAATTACATATCAAAAAAGAGGGGTGGAACAGAACAAAACAATGAAAATGACGAAAGGGAGAGAGTAGAGAAGAAAAATGCCTGTTTGTATTCAGTCTCTGTAAAGTACGAACTTTGCTATCTCATGGAGACCTGCCTCTTCATAACACTGAGCAATACGCTCCACAGAGTTGTCCCAAGTTCCATCGACAGAAGCTAAATCCAACAAAAAGGCAGCTTGGTCCAAGGCCACCTGCACAAGCAGTAAAGTGAAATTGAGCAAAAAAGGTGTGTTATAAGTCACATTTGTCTGTTTTATAATCATATAGTTAATAAAGAACAGGGATAAAACCTGGGCAGGAGCCTTTCCCTTCTTAAGATCCTCTTCCTTTCCTTCTTCTGTGACCTTCTCTTTGAAATACTCAATTTGCTCATCTTCCCATTGTGCAATATTAGCAACTTCCTGTATATGAGCCACAACCAATCCAGGTATCATCATTTTTATAACTATTCTTTCATTCTCATTCCCCCACCCTCCCGCGGTGTCTAAAACAGAGAGCTACTAAAAACAATGCAAAAGAGATCTACCAGATACTCAAGTCAATACCTCATATTTACAGCCTAGAGTCCACCATGGTGATTTTAGCGCACCCCTCGCAGCATCCTTAGCTTCTGTCTCTCGTCCCACCCTAAAGTATGAAACTACAGATTATTTAGGTATAATCTCAGTCAAAGTATTTTGGAATGATGAAAAAATTTCCCCACGTACTTCAGCAAAACCTCTGCATTGAATACGTATGGCCGTGCAAATCCTGGGAAGTGCTCCTTTTTAGTATAGAATTCTCCGGTCACCAGAGCTGAAACCTACAAGTAGGAATTAAATATTCAAGCATGTAAACTGGAGCCAAAGCTTCTTTTCACTGTTTCTCAGTATCTAATGTACTGCCTTACAAGGTCACCCTCCTCAAAATGGCGCAATATTTTACGTTCTATGACATCTGGAAACAACCCAACCTGAGATTGAAACATCATCAGAACTTGCAGTGCAAGATACATTATAGATGGTATAAACCTTTTACCCGAAAAGTGCTTAAGAAGTAAAACTTGTGTGAAGTGAGACTTAAAAACAGGAAAAAGAGAAGAAAATCTATAATTAGAGGGTAGAATGCATAATAGAATACCATGAAGTGCATTACGCATAAGTTTTCTTTGTTTTTGATAGGAAACAGAAATAAGTGCATTACGCATAATGAATCTTCTTCAACAACAATACAGCAGTAGAGGAGACGACACATTAATCAAATATACTTTTAAAATACCTGTTTATGCATAAATATGTCTTTTAAATAATCAATCCTTTATTTTAAAGAAGTAATGAGAAGATGATTTTAAAGTCTAAAGACTTCAGAAAATTGAAAATTGTGTTTCTTCAGTGACACCAAGAATGGTGATGTGATCAAAGGCAAGCAGCTTTGTTAAGGATCTCACTCATCTTGCCAGTCACCACAGGAAGATGCCCAACATTGGTTAAGAGAACACTTGCACATATGTTTTTTAATTGATGAAGACGATCGAGAGAAGTACCATGAGAATTTGTACACATACCTTTTTCAGCAGATACGAATCTACATTTGTGACCCGAGATTCAGCAAAAGCACCCCTTTCATAAAGTTTCTGCCCAGCATCAGCTGCTGCAAGAAATAGCTCATCACTTTGCTCTCCACTTCCTCTGGCGTCTTCTTCAACTAGAAGTCTATTAATAAACTGATCCACCTGCACATCAAATACTGAAGACGACATCAGAGTTGCACAACATTGTAAAAGATCAACAATTGCATAATAGATGCTTCACTTACGTTCTTGGCTAGAAGCCACACTCCATTCCTATTGACGTCCACTACTGGCATGTCCATCCTGAGGATAGACATTTTTTTATTAAGAAGGAGGAGAGCATGCATGAAGAAAGTAAAAACATCTATTCTTCTTACCCAGCGGGTGCTGTAGGCCAGCGCAGCAGTGCAGTTATAGTACCTTGGAACAAGAAAATAGAAAACCTTGAAGTATCATACACCTAGAAAACAAACTAATTCAAAGGAAAATTCTAACATATACCTGAGCTGTTTTTTGCCAGTGGAACGGCAAGAGGGATAATCCCTTGCTTCGCTCCAGGAGAAATAATGGATCCACCTGCTTCAAAAGCAACAATTTACAGGGGATAGACAGGATTCCCTCGTAGGTAAGAATATGTCTGCAGATTCGGAAGATGTGCAATTTAGGCATATAATTGAATTTCAAAATCTAGAGTTCTTTTTAATACTTCAATATTTACTTTTCAAAAGAAGTACAAGCACAATCACAGCCTTGCAACATTTTATGGGGGGAAACTAGAAAGAATCTTATAAGAACTTAGGAAACCGTATTTTCCTTCCAAAGTGGGAAAGCAAAAGGCATGACATGTTTCAGCGTCTAATTTTCAGAAAATAGAACATGAAATGAAAATGATTTCAAAAAGGGTCTCGACTACAAATCCCGAAGTTTGAAAT